TGATTGGAAAACATTTAAAGAGATTCTTGGTGATCAAATTGGATGCGATTGGAACAAGATGTGCGCTTATCCGTGAAGGATGATTAATATTTTCTTTACTATTATATTATACATATATCTTAAATATTTTACGCAAGAAACTTTTTTTCTATAAATTGTTAATTAAAAATATGATTCTACAAATGTTATGATGTCATTATAATACTTTTTTTCCGAATAAATTAAATGTAAAAAAAAATATCACGCCCACATTTATTTATTAATCACCGGAAAACAAATAAATATTTAATTTATTCAGTGAATGGTTTTAGGATTTACTTTTATTATTATTATTATATTATTTATTTTGACTAATTTATTTCCCACAAATAAACAAAATATTAAAAAAAATCCTAAAAAAAATTACACAGTCAACTTCAAGTACTTTACTTCTTTCAAAGGAAATCATAGAAATTATAATATAAAGGATCAGAATTAAGGTGCTATCTACAACCCACTCATAAACGAGTCGACCATTGTTACTGCCTGGGAGAGCAAGTTTTACTAATTTATAGTGGTTTAGCTTGGTATTGAACTTGTGTTGATTAAATTATGTGAAAGATTATAAATATTAAAGATAAAATATATATATATAAAATATAGAAAGAAGTCAATTAAACAAGAACAATATCATTTATCTAAATAATTCACTAACAGATATCAATAACTATAACCAATCAATAAATAAAATACTGAATCAAATCAAATAACTAAATCAAATCAAAAGAAAATAACTATAAACTAAAACAATCAAAAATCAATAAATCAAAATGAAATAAGAAAAGGTGAGTTTGGGTATACAGGGTTCCTTTGGTTATTTCAGCAACACTTTAAGACAAAAGTATAAAGTAATTGTTATTTTTATTAAAATAAAAGAAATAGGATTTGCATGAACTTTACAGACTGACTTGGACAAGGTAATTTCTCTTGTCATTATATATATTTCTACGCTGGAGTCAAAGAACCTCACTTGGATCTTGGATGTCCTTGTGATCATCAAATTAACTAATTATAAAAATAAAAATAATTAAACATATATAGATCAATTCTAGAATTAATACAATAACTACTAAGTAATAATAGATAATAAATAAATAAATAATAATAAATAATAAAATATGACAAGAAAAAATTATAAAAATTAATAATTAATAAAAAAAAAAAATACTAGTGATGTTTTAAAGACAAAAGTTTGCTGGCATGCTATAGATCTTAATTCATATCAAGCTACTTTGTGCTGTAAAAAAAAAAATTCCTTTCCCTATTATAGAAGATGCTTTAACTTTATGAGTAGAAGGTACAATTCAAGCAAATATCAATATTATTGATGACATCCTTTTTACAAAGTCATCAGAATTTGCTTTTTTATGCAAAGAAAACAAATTTAAAGGTTCAGGTGGATGGGTTGAAAATTTCAAAAGCAGCATAATCTCAAGCAATATAATATGCATGGAGAAGCATCAAGTGCTCCACTTCAAAATTTTGATGAAATGCGTAAAAATCTCAATAAAATTTTAAAAGAATATGATCCTCAAGATATTTTTAACTGTTGCTACCCTTCTAGACTGTTAACTTTGTAGAAGGATGACAGTGACAAAAACTTAAACTATTAAACTAATTTGCTACTTTAGAAATCACACAAATATGGTTTAAACTAATAATTAATTGAACTAAGAGAGGTTTAGGGTAAAGGAATTATATTAGGAAAGAGGTGATTTAACTATTAACAGTGGTATGAGGACTTGTTAATAGGCAGTGTATCAATTAACATTTAACACTTTTTAACAAATTAGAACTGTAATGCTAAGAATATTTTATTACAATTCTATAACTAATTACTAATACACACACTATTGAGACTTGGAAGAAATTCCAACCTTTATATATATTATAATTTTAACCCAATTCTATGCCTGCAAATCTTGGTCTGTATTCATGACTAAAACTATGTTTAAAACCATGTCTGTACATATGCTTAAATATATGCTGAAATACACTGTATGTCTGATTATATGTCTGTTCTACAGACTTGCAAGAATTTTGTATAATAACTAGTTTAAGTACTTATATTGAAATTGATCTACTAATAACTATAAGACTAATAGATCATAAAATAAATAATAAATAAATAATGATATATAAATGCTAATAATAAATAATAATAATAAAACCAATAATAGTTATAAAAATAATAAAAATAAAAAGAAGAAAAGCAGGGTAACACTGTGATAAAACTAATCTTTTTTGGAAAATGAGACCTAGTCATACAATTTCTAATCATTCAATGTCAGGTGAAGAACAGTCAAAAGATCGTGTAACAGTTTTACTCACATCCAATACAAAAATTCGCGAGCACTTAGATATATAAACAAAAATACTCTTCCAGTAAATTATTATTGGAATTTAAAAAGTTGGATGCAAGTTTCAGTTTGGAATGGTTATATTAAAAAACTTGACACATAAATGAGAATGCAAAATAGAAAAATTATTCTTTTAATTGACAATGCACCTACACATATTCTTTATAAAACTACACATGTTACAAATATTACTATTGAACTTTTACCTCCAAATACCACTGCACATTTACAACCTTGTGAACAAGGAATTATCAATAGCTTTAGGATAAATAAATTTATCTTTTATAATTATTTAATTAAAATTTTTAAAAATTTTTAATAATTATATTTTTATTTTAAGCACAATACCAAAAATTATTTTTAAATAGTTGCGTTAGGGCTCTTGATAAATATAATGAATATGATATTGAACCTGTTGAAATTAATATTAAAAAATGTATTAAATATGTGGCTTGTGCATGGGAAAATGTTACTGAATCTACTATTAAAAATTGTTGACAAAAGACATATTCTACCTAAAGTAATTTGGATGATACTGTAGATGAAATGGATACAGATGAGATTACAGTATATAATACAAATGAATTGAATGAGTTTCAAGTATTAATTGATAAATTAAATCTTGAAGATCCTTTTAGTGCTAATGAATTTATTCATTATGATGATACAGAAGTTATTATGGAAATAAGAACTAATGAAGAAATTCTAGCAGCAGTTTTTCTGAATAAAAGAGATAAAATAAAAGAAATAGAAAAAAATTCAGATCCTTTGCAAATTATTAATCACAATGAAGCTGTTGAATTATATAACAACAGGAGTAAAATTTTGATACAAAAAAGAAATCAAAAATGTAAAAAAATTAAAAAAAGAAGCTACAAGACAACACTTTTTTTCAATGACACAAAGTAATCTTGATAGTTTTATTGAAGATACTTATTAGAAGTATTGAATATAGTATATACAGTATATAAATAGTATAAATAGTATCAAATAGTATATAAAAAAAATACGATTTGTGAAAACGAATCTCTAAAAATATTCGTTATACGTTATACCGGATTTTTATAAATTTTTTGTTGTACCATTAACGAATTTTTTTTATAACGAAGGCCTAATTTGCTCAGACACTAGATTCGTTGTGTCGAGGGTTAACTGAAAATTGAAGAAAGAGTAATTGCAGATTTCACCAAAAGCAATAACTTGAATTTATGAAGATATTTTTTTTTTTTTGATGATTCCATTTCTTTTGTGAAGATAATTTTATTTTTGTGGCGATAATTTTTTTTTTTGTGAAAAGAGAAAGAAATAGAATTTTTTAATTTTAATCAAATCTAATTAAATTTAAAACAATTAAATATTTAAAATAAATATTTTGATTAAATGAATTAATTAAAGGAATTTTAATGATTTGAAATCACTAAAAGTATTTAGAGAATAGCTTGATCGTCATAGTTTTCTTCATCATACTTCTAACTTATTGTTTATTAAAGTCTAGTAAGGAAATTTTAGTTAAACAGTTAAAAATAAAATTGCGATTTAGCCTTTGATTTGTAATTTAGACTATAATTTTCAAAAAGAGCAGTTTCGTGTGGTTTCTTATGGTGTAGTAAAGATGGTACAAAAAAAACATGCATTCTTTAATTTCATTGCAAAATATTGTTCATAGTCAAACATGAATTATCAATAAATTTCAAGTACTTCTGATTTTAACGAAAACTTATTCTCCAATAAATCTCGAATTTAAATTTTAAAGTTAAATTAATTAATTGAATAAATTAACAGTATATTTTCTATATTTAATATGGTTGATTTATTCCAATCAAATATAATGATAATTTTTTTTAAAAAAAATAATTTTATTTAACAAATCTTTTACTCTTGCGTCATCATACAATATAGATTGTATATTTATTATAAAGAACTTCTTTCCTTTGAAGAAATTTATACATTTTCATATTAGCTCATGCTTTTCATTTCTATTATTTTACTTTTACTAAAGATGCCAAATATGATCTTTGAATTCTTTATATCTGATCTTGTTCTTTTTATTTTGATCTAAGAAACTAACATTTTCCTAATCTTTCCCAAATTAGCACCACATCTTGAATTGTAAATTCTTGACCTATAGTTTATATAATGCAAAAGAAAAATTGAAATTTTATGTAATCGACGACGTTTAGGATGTTTGAAATTATAAAAAAAAATTCTTGAATTTAGTTATAGCAAAGTAACTTCAATAAATTTGAAATTTCTTTTACTCTGAATTTAGTCAAATATTACATAATACTTTTTAATAATTCCGTATAAAAGAATAAATGATGGATGTAAATTAAATAAATTCAAAAAAAAACTGTCCTAATGTTTTTTTTTTCTTAATAAATAATTTCTACATTTAAGAAAATAATAAAAATAATAATAAAAACAATCAGAAATTATAAATAAATTTATTATTTACCACCATAACTTAGTGTAATTTTAGTTTCTTTATTAAGCAAAATGAAAGAGAAGTCATGAGTCAAAAATCAATTATGAAATTAGTCCAAGACTTGGAAAACTAAAAACAAAATTTAAAATCTTTGCTTTGATATATGAACATATAATTGATAAGTTATGTGTAATCAAATACTTAAGAATAAATTATAATTTTTTTTTGCTGTGGAATAATTATAATATTGCATCAACTCAGTTTTCGGGCAAAAGGCACGAGATTCCCGCTAGTTGATATTATAATAAAATTAGATATATGATTATTCTTTAATTTCAATATTTATTCTTTAAAAAATTACCTTTATCTCTTTTATCTTTGAACATTCGATAAGTCTTTAAAATAATAAATATTTATATTACAAAATTCTCCATAATTTTGTAATTAAAAAATTTATTATCACCTTAGACAAAGTTACTTATTCTCTTGTTAAATAATTTTAGTATAAAACTCCAACTCCCCGTATTTTCATTTATTATTTTTATCCATTACATTTTTGATATAATTAATTTATTTTAAATTCTTTTAAATTAATAAAATCTTCAATATTATTATTAATTTATTTAAGAATAATAAAATAAATAATAAATGTTTAATAAATTTACTCAAAATGCTAAATAATCTATAATTTCAACTTTTTTATTTGTTCTTTACTTTGATCACTGCTTACCAATATCAAAAGAAATAATTTATTTGCTCAAGCCACCATACGATTGTACCTTTGTTTGTAACATACCATTTCCTAGTTTTTGGTTACTCAATTTAAGAAATAAAAAAAAATTAACCATTCATACCTTATCGAAACGTGGATTCAAATAATTCAGATATAATTCACTTATCGATATTTTTAAAAAAAAATGAACTTCTACCTACCTTACATTGCAAGTGAATAGAATGAATGCAATCAAGAATTTATTGAGTGCTGGTGAACACTGTGTAACACAACTCATTTCAAAAATAATTTTGATAAATAGACAAGTGGAAATTATGCAATAGACAAATTTATTCAAGATGCTTAGTTAAATGCAAATCGTAGTAATAAAGTAATAAAATGGATACCTTATGATAAATTTCAAGGTATTAAAGAAATAGCAAAAGGTGGTTTTGATACTATTTACATTTATTATGCTGTGTGCTTTGATGGATTTATTGGAAATTGGGATATTGAAAATCAACAATAGTTAAGACATGGTCAAACATAAAGTGGTATTAAAAAAGGTTGGAGATATAAATGAAGACTTCTTAAATGAGATAAAATTATATTTTAATTTAATGAGACTTTATTTAAAAATGTATAATAATTCAAAAATATATTATTTAGATGTCCATTCACTTGAGAACAAAAGATATATATAGACCTTCATTTTATGGAATTTCAAAAGATCCAGAAACTCATAAGAACATGATGGTTTTAGAATATCTAAAAGGTGTAAAATCTTAGAAATTATTTAAATAATAATTTAATAATATTGATTGGTCTTATAAAAATAAATTACGGTATTTAAGAGAAAAAGCAAGATAATTTACAGATTAGGAAAAATGTAGAAATCCCAAAAGAGGAATGTTTTTGGAGTATTGCCTTATATAGCTCCTGAGGAGAAGAATATACAAAGGCGGCAGATGTTTATTCATTTGCAATTATTGCTTATGAGATAGTCACCGGTTTGCCGCCATATCCTGATGTGGCACATGATAATGATCCAGCTTTGAAAATATGTAACGGATTATGACCAAAAATTCCATTTTACACTCCTAAATTAATTACATGAGATTCTGGGGTGCTCGGGTTACTTGTCGAAACAAATTTAGAGAATTATTTAAAGAGTTGAATAAATACTATTCTTATTATGAGAAGTATAAAATCGATAATATAATTAAATTCAAATTAAGGAAGTCGAAACTTTACTTAATTACACAACACACTCACAAGCAATTTATGCTAGCAGACTTTTCGTTTTTCGAATCTTCCAAAATCTGTAAATGAACCAAACTTTGAAAAAAAAACTCGAAATCTTTTTTTCTCATTTAATTACTAGTAAGTATTAATTTTATATTATATTTTTTTTTTGATTTTTTTTATTTCTTGATTAATTATTTATTTTGTTTAGATGATGATATTGATGATTTTTAAATATTAAAAATACTATTATAAAAGTAAGTTTTTATAAATTCGATTAATTTATGAGTTAATTTGTATTTTATAAAGTCCTCACGTTAAATATTGAGCGGAATTTATCATATCTGTATGAATTAAATTAACTTAATTTTATATTTATTAATAAAAACTAACTATCAATGGTATTTTATTGTATGAATTTTTTAGAGGTCTATTTGTTATAATTTAAAAGTTTTTTGAACAATAATCACTGAATTTCATCGTCTGTTAATACCTTTCAATTATATAAAATCAGATTTTTACATTATCGCACTAATTTGAAAACCGCGATAAATAAAATAATTTTTCATCAATGATATTATAATCTGTAAATAAATATAAATAAAATTATTTTCTTTGTTCATTGAAGAAGAATAAATTGATTTTATTATTATTACTGTTGCTGTTGTTTATATTATTGCAATTGTCATTATTATATCTTTGATACAATGCACTAATATATGCTTTAAACTTTAATAAAAATATTTGATATTAATGTTAAGATAAGCTTATATCTTCGATAAAAAAAAAATTATTATTTATGCTAAAAATACATATTTATTTGTCTTCGATACTATCTTTAATATCTAATCATAAAATGTTTTTAATATCCTCAATATTGGATGATATTTAAATAGAAAATAAAAAAATATAAATCATTAATTCAAATTCAATACCTATAAATTATTCAATATTTTTCATGATTAATTGTCTCGCTCAAATACTAAATTTTAAATTAAGACTTCAATAAAATTATTTATTCTTGTATTTGTTGTTCATTCTTTCAATAAATTTTCTTTAAGAAAAAAAATTTAAATAAAGTATAATTGGATCGATTATTTAACAGTCTTTTTACGATTCTGTAATACTATTTAATATATCTTTCCATGATCAATTGGCTCAAATTATTAACTTAAGACTTCAACGAAAATATTTTTGTTACTTGCATTTTGATATTCTTTCTATAAATTTCTTTAGAAATAAAGAAATAAATAAAAGAGGTGTCCGAAACCCAATCAAAATGGTAAAGATAATCAAAGTTGTGAGAAATTGTCGCGTAAGAAGGTCCGAAAAATATAGCACGATAATAGGCTAAATGACCTAACAAATGGTGAAACTAGCAATAAGAGAACGTGCGGCCTTTGTAATGAAAAAGAGCACAATGCACGAACGTGTCTAACAAAAGAGAAGACTACCGCCAAGACCAGCAAGCAAGAAAGCGAAGGATTGGTGGAGAATTCATTTATGAAAACAAGTCATTTTATTTCAGAAAAAAAAATTTTTTTTCAAGAAACTGCAA